GCGCAACACTTCCGTGTCCGCAACTCTGTCGCACCAACCGATGCGCAGAATCCGTTGCAAACACTGTTGATGGCACTGCTCGAGATATCGCACATCCCGCCGGTACATCGTCCACGTTTCGCTGCCGTATAGAAGAACGGGCAGCATCATGAATTTGTACACCATCAGCTTCGCGCCAATGGTAAGCTGATGGTTGTTCCACACTCGGTACTTAAGCTTCTCGAATGTCGAAGCTGCCTTCGAGATGCGGATACGAAGCTCACTGCGTAGCTGCTGGTCATTTGAAAAACCACACTCCCAAGGTAGTAGAAGCGGGAGGCGGTTTTTAATACTTCCATTGCAGATTGCACCTCTGGTGAAGGCTGAAAGAGACAGACAGTTTTGCTTGTGTTGATGGTGAGCCCGAATTTGGTCGCCATCGAAGCCAGAGCGTTGGTCATGTGCTGCAACACATCCGCGCTATGTGCAAACAACGCACAGTCGTCAGCAAACAGCAGCATACAGGTAGTTGTCTCACATACTAAGGTTCACGCACCGAATCGATGGATGTTCAGCAACCCACCATCAATACGGTGCTCCACACGAACACTGTAAGCACAAGCAGCATCAAAAGCACAAGAGATCATGGCATGAAGATAGATGTTAAACAGGGTAGGAACTAAGACCCAGCCTTGCTTCACGCCAGAGACAACTGCAAAGTCATCCGAGGTCACTTCACTCAGCTGTACCCTGGCCCGCATATCACTGTGCAGACATACAATTACACTTATAAACCTCCGCGGACAATCAAACTTACCCAACACAAACCACAATGCCTCGAGGTTCACCGTATCCAATGACTTGGTGAAATCAGCAAACATCGAGTACACGGCTGTTGTCGATCTCTACACTGCACCTGCAACTGACGAGCCGCAAGCATTATATTCACAGTGCTTCGATCCGAACTGATTCCACATTGGATCCATGTTCGGTTCCACAACCTGACGTAGGAGGCGGTTGAACAGGAGTCGGGCAATCGCATTGCCCACACAACTCAGCAAGCTGATGCCGCGATAATGCATGCAACATTGCTTGCTTCTTTTACCCTTTGCAGTAGTAGTACAAGGGCATCTTTCAGCTCAGGAGGCACCTCATCGTGAACCCCCACGTGTTTTACTAAGTGGTGCAGCGCACTTACCAACGCGGTTCCACCATGTTTTAATGATTCAGGCGTGATATCGTGGGCACCGGCACACTTACCGTTTCGCAACTGAGCAAGTACTCTCAGCGTCTCATCCTTTGTCGACGTGTCCGTCAGACTCGCCTTCACATCGTGCTGCTAAAGGCCGTTCAATGTACGCCAGTCGATCTCTGAACGGTCTTTCAAGAGACAGTCAAAATGCTTTTGTGAGATCTGTATTATGTCTGCAGTCTGTGTGCAAGTAGTGGCTTAGCTACCATCGATTAGCGGCCTCAGCGGCTCCAACCTCGGTCCCTACACCGCCTTCAAAGAGTCAAAGAATTCCTTGTGTTGGCGGTGTTCGGCATTGCGTCGAAATGAGTACGGGTGCTGCTGGGAACGTAAGCAGAACCGATGCAGCGTTGGTACGTACGCTGAATTCGATTTACTAACCGCTTGTTTTCATGCTGGATCTCTTTATTCCAGGTGTTGGGTTTGCTTTATTTTCTCATTGATTTTTACGTGAACTATCTTCTATTAACATGCACCCGTCCCTCAAGTTAATTGTAGATAACTTTACTAACATTTTCGCGTTGGTGGAATTTCCTAAAATATATTTGCTGATGTTTTGAACCTATAGCGGAATTTTCGCCAACGAGTTGATTTCATATGCCTGTTTGTTGTAGAGCTATGTCGGCATACTGTATGCATCACTCGATTTATTTTATTTGATCTCGTCATTTCATGTGTTTGCCTGTTGCTTGGTATCCCCGGTGTGGCTGCGCTTGATTTACATGTTGACAAGGTGCCTACCTGTCTATTACCCACTACCTCGTCCATACTGGATCTGGGAGACAGTTGGTCGTTGCTGGAGGGGACGGGGTGCACGGTCCTTGTGGCCGTGTTAGGTTCGAAGAGTGGTTCCACGCATTCACTGCGGAGCGGACTACGGTCCAGCCATCGTCTTGTGTGCGCTTGATTCCCAAATACAGCGTGCTTGTGTTTGTCTATGAAGGAGTGTGGGCCGGATCCGTTGGTGAGACGTGGCTCTCATCCACATGCCTCCCGGTCTTATTCCTACGCATTTCACTGGATATGGGGTGTGTGGGTGGTGCAACGCGAGCCACCTATGTTCCCTTTGTAGGCGCAGGCGTCCTGTGGCTGGCCACAGTGACAGGCAAATCCGAAACCAGATGCAAGCAACCAAATATAATACAAGCTCCGTAAGTCTACCACTCAAGAATCTGGACCAAATTCGTGGTCTACTTACATAGACTTGTATTCATAATGTTTACATGGTGAACGTTCACTTAATGAAAATAAAATTAAGCGGGTAACATCGGTTGTTTAACTGTAGCCTTTTGTTTCCACGTGTCTGTTATTTCTGCATGTGTCTCCTACCGAGATTTTAACATACGCCGCCGCTGCTTGCTTTCAGGAACATTCTCCTTGACACTTTCCTACATCTATTTTGCACCAAATCGCGGAATTCTTTGCAACCGTGAACATTTTTATTATTACGCATCTTACTCTGTTTATACCGCACCCTCACTTCTCTGACAATATCTGCATTTTTAAACCCTTCCTATTAGGTCGCTTTTGCTATTTGAATTACCACATTTAATTTTTAATACTATAGCGTTGACTTTTCGTCATGACCCATGCTCGTGTATAGTGAACTTTGTCGGTATCATCTTCACTACACTCTATTCAATTCCCGAGAGTAATGCTGTGGTTTCTGCACATGCTGCTGAATTATCATCTACTACTGCTGTCAGGGAACCGTTGGAGGATATTACATTACCTCGGAAACATCCACATACTTGATATGCTTCGAATTCCCTACTGTTTCTACGATTGGTATGTATCTCACGTCTAGCCAACATGTAGAGTGATGTTACCTCTTTACTGTAGTTAACCTGCCTAATTGGCTTTCAAAACGATTACATGTTTGGCGGCTTAGCGAGGCATTTCACGCAGCTAGTGTCTAATACGTCCTCTGCACGTTAGCAGTGCGCAAGCCGAAACTTTTTATACCGAAGTTGACAATTTAGCTATGGCGGTCCTCTGCCTTTTCCCACGAATTACCGCTTTAAGCCGCTACATCGCATGGTTCAGGTAAAATGCTTCCGGCCGCGGTGAAGATGGCTCGCTGCACTGTTAGATCAGGAATTTCCTTGTTAGTTGAAAGTGGAGGGTTCGGGTCGACAACCGTCCAACCGACTGGTATCTCTCGAGCAGTGGCGTGCCCCAAAACAGTGTACTGGGGCCCATTTTGTTCCTGATTTATATAATCGATATATCTCAGCTTCCCCGTTCGGCTTGCGCTTTTTTTGCAGATGATTTGAAAGTGTGTAGAGTAATCCACGCATCCAATGACTGTGATCTGCTTCATGGGGACTTCTACTACCTCTGCATGTGGTCCGCATAGGTAAAAATTCCGATCAACCCAGTCAAGTCGCAATTCATGGAGCTGGGTATTCGTCAACACAGCCGAAGCTACACTGTGGCCGCTTATCCGTTGCATTCCGCGCCTTGAGGGAACGACTTTCCGTGTACTTTCACTGCGACCTAAAGTCCATGGACAACACGAATAGGCTTTACCAAAACGGCCTTCGTGTGTTTTGGGCGCCCAAACGCAACTTCAGGCCTTGGTCAGAAGTGATTGTTCAATAATACGACCAATGCTAAAGTATGGCTCATCCGCGTACTGTCCAATCACTCGCGGCGAGGTAGAAAGGATTGAGTGGGTACAACATATAACAACCAGGCTGATCCCCAATTTACGAGCTGTGCCATGCGAAGACCGGTGTAAAAGACTAAGATTTTACATCCTATATTATCGTCGATTGCGGGTTTACCTCATCATAACGCACCGGATACTACATCTGGGTGGTTACCCCATATTGAGGCAACTGCTACATTTGCACGCACACGAGGACACCGGTACAGGCTTGTCGTACCGGATTTGAAGCGGGTCGCTCACCATCTCTGTTTCGAACGGAGAGTGGTGAATGTATGGTACAACTTGACATAGTACGTAGTTGTGGCAACGTCAGTGTCGGAATTCAAGAAATTCCTAGACAAACACTTTGTCGATGTAAAATATTTCGAGCACATTCCAACATAACAGGTTTTTGTACCTGTGTGATAGTAGACACAGCTACATAGAGATATATCTTCTTGCTGCTTCCAATCATTTATCACCACTTGATCAGGATGATGGGAATGCGGGTTCCCGCACTCCTCTGGTGTGTTTCCTGTGTCCCGTTGCTAGCGCCTCTGTATGACCGGGCCATCACACTTGTTGAACTCTGCAAGGGGACGTATCTTTTTGTCTTCTGTATACACCATCTCTCCGGTTCGCTCGAAGCTTACAATCTTGTTTTAGGATCCGCTTGCCGTGCTTCAAATTGCGCTGTCGATGTTTACTAGATGGGGTAGTGAAGCGGGCACATGATAGCTTATCCCAAGTTTTTGACCGGTTTAGCTTCTTGGGCTCGTGGAATCTTTCCGAATACGGAGCACTTACTCCAGTGTCAGCAATGACACGCTATCGTTTCTACAAGTCTCTCAAGTCAGCATTTCTCTAATCCCTTTCCTGCTTCTTCTGCCATGAGGGACGGTGATCCAATTCACCGGAGTTCCTTCCTGTTGGCCCGTACTCCGCCTTACCCGCTCATCCACTCACGTCCACAGAGTTCAACGTAAGTAGGATCGTTTTATTATGCTCAAATCTGCTATTGTTATGTGTTAATCGCCCTTCTGATTCAGCAACCTGTTTGTGTTGTCGCTTTACGAAATTTTTACACCATTTATCGGGATTCCTTTCGATCTCCAGGTTACTTTGGTGGATTTCGGTTTGGTCCATCTATTCCGCATCAACGGAAAACATACTGCAGCGAAGCCTAACCCCAAGTTCAAACACAATGGAACTCTGGAATTTTGCTCTCGCGATGCACACCGTGGTACGTATTCGCTACCTCTACGTATACTATGACTTCCCTGTATTTCTCCCTTGAACTCGTTTTTCTTCCTTCGCTTGATTCAGGCTTTCCTCCATCCCCTCGGGGTGATTTGGAAATTCTTTTGTTCAATCTGATTCACTGGCTTGCTCGTTGCCAGCCAGGAACTGCACAGTCCTTTACTACTGGGCTACCCTGGGGCTACCTTATATCAGGTAATTTCGATCTTTGTCGCTTGGTTAATGCAGCCCTTTGCGTCTTCGCCCACCCTCTGTCACACCACTCTACCACAGTGGACTGCGACTGCTTTGATACTGTGTCTATTACTATGTGCCCAAGTTAAATTTACCTTACACATCTCCTCAGCCAGAATTTCTGTCATGTTAAAGTATTTTCTTTATATGCAAATCCGGTTGACGTGTTCCCATTTCACCATCCCCCCAATAACCGCCAAAACTTGGAATTAAATGCCCAAGTGCAAAACTTATTGTATGAGCAGCTACCGAAATTGTATCAGTAGTGAGATAAACAGCATATTTTTAAGTATCAACACTTAAAGGTTCAGCTTCTGGAACAGCTAGGTTAACTGCCCGAAATGGTACTTTGGGCATGCTTCTACCAATGAGAAAAGTGCATGCGTATTTCGCGTGACTGACTTGAATATACCTGAAGACACTCGGTCATTCGGCTGGTTATAATTAGTTTAATTCATTTTCGCATGGAAATGACGGGTTTATCTGCAAGGCAATCCGCATAACAGTGATTCGTTCTGCTTGTTGTCCCTCGTAGACAGGCCAATATTGCGCTTTGCTTAGCGCTTTCAGATCCACTAGACACGGGCACTGTACTCGCATTGATTTTCAGCTGAACGTCCGCTTATCAGTACCATATCATTTAGCTGCTCCCCTTTCTTCCATCTTTGTCTACTGCTAAATTTTGCTTTTCTACTTGACCGCTTCCCACCCCATCCCTCAGCCTCCCCTTCCAACCACGATCTCATTATTTAGCCTTATATAATTTTGAATAGTAATTTTTTTGATGCGCAGTAGCCGGCTGATAGCTTACCGGAACGATGCCCATCCGTTACCGGTAGCTCGGCCGGATTGCAGCAGTTGCATTTTTTCTCTCCTTTTTTCTGTGTATTGTGGCACAGTAGCTGAGGTGTTTCCCACCTCTAGCTAACGTGTATGATGATGATGATGATGATGATGATGATGATGATGTATTTGTATCGATTAGAATCTTTCAGTTCTCTGATTATCCTATCGCGCATCTAGCCAATGGCCGAGGAAACGTGTCTTCACACTTCGTCTTATTGCGACCTTGACTAATGGATGAATGATTAAACGACGGAAGTGCAGTTCCTCTGTACATCATCCGCCATCCTATTCATGTGTCCATGTGATGCTTTCGAGCCACAAAATTTTTAAGTTTGTCTCATCTTTGATAATTGGTTATCGGTCCAGTTAACAGCGTATAAGCGATTGGGCTGCTTCGCCGATTGCTATGTGCTACAATGATTCAGTACGAAAAGCGTCGTCTTTTCAGTAATCCTGTTTCCTTCTTGATGAAACCCTTTCTTACGTTTTATTTACCAAACAAGAATCAAGTTCATATTTGATTCTTTATTACTCTTACTTTGTACATTGTTGAGCGTTACTAGACATTGATCTCCGATTAGATCCACGATTCTCAATTTTCTTTATTAAAACCTTAGACCAAAGACCACAACCTGCTATTTTTTTACTGCTCCTTACCATGTTCTTATTGAAATCACTTTCTTAGCAGCATTTGAGTGAATTGCAAACAGCACGGAGCTTTACAAACCTGGGATAGTACGTTTGTTGCCAAGTTTCGCTTTCGTTGCACCTTGGCGCATTCCAAAACCCTGGCAAACGGTTCATTATGACATGCAGACGAACATTTGGAACAACTCAGACATGTTTTTCCTCTGCTTTATACTTCACCCTTATTGTTACATGCTGCTGGTTTTAACAACGAATTAATTAAACTTTTGTTTTACGCCATTTGACCAATAATTTTTCATCTACTGTTGAAACAGACAAAACGCTTTTCACCCCACGCGCAAAGTTGCCCGTCGAATTCGAATCACTGCCATCTAAAAGTCTTGGCTGCTAGACGTATATACACATGAGCCGAGACTTGAGACGAAACGCGTGACCTCGCACGAATGTACTGAGAATCAGATAAAAAGACTAGTCGATTGCAAGAGTTCTTTCACTGACTCAGCCAAAAACCAACATGCCTTCCACACCTTCATATCTGTCTCAGCTTAATACATACACTGGAGGATGGTGCATGTTGGCGAGGCACCGGTTATCACGTACTGACGATGTCCTGTTAAAAACGCATTTGACATTAGTGTGACTTGAGGCGGTAAGTACAGCTGTGTCCTGAGGGGAGTTCAGTTGGTTCAATGCGACTCGAGACGGTGAATATAGCAGCGTCACTGGGGCGGGCTTAGTTGGAGTCTGTGCTGTTTACGTTGACACATAAGAGCGGTTCCACTAATGAGGGCTCAGCTATTTTATTCGCAGTTTGAGTAGCCGTATGGTGATGTTATTGCTGTACTGAGCTTAAGTGATCTCTACACATGTTTCGGTACTCTTTTACTTGGCAGTGTTAGCAGTAACGAACTTGATGATTTGCCAAATTGTACCTTCAACATTCAACAACACTTCCACACTAGTATTCCTTCGCGGCTTTAAAACAAAATTTCGGCCAGCATTTGAAGTACTATGTTGGTAAAGCTTCCTACGCAGGCAGCACTTAAACTCGGGAGGCATCCGTCGACTAGTGGACTCCCTTACTTTTGGGGACACATTATCGCGCCTGCATAAAATGCGGCTTCTCGCTCATATATTACCACCTCTCTGGTCGGCCAGTTTGCCGACCCACCTGTCAACTATCGAGGTGCATGTTTGAATCACTGTACAAAAGCACACTGCATTCCCATTGTACGTAAAGTGGCTACGGACGTGTTTATTAATTACAATCGCCTTGGTTGAATACCCAACGCATCGTACCACTTGGTGTTTCTTGAATCACACTGAGCCCATTTCACCAACAGTAGCAGGTGTTGAGCCGTTATGTCAGCAGCAGTTTCTGTGGCTTTAATACTTTAACTATGATGGCTTTGCATTACATCGAGTTATTCCAACACTCACAAAACTGCACTTGTCTGTCTCTACAGTTGGAAAATGGCGAATGGCTCTAAAAGTCTCCAATTTTCTAACGCAAACCTGTCCGTTAGGTGATTCCTTCAGCATCAACATGAATGGACATGGCCAGTTGAATCAGCTGACTTTGTCATATTCAACAAGACAGGCTTTGTACGTCTGTATGTATCGAAGTGCTACAGAGTTAGCTTTGCCTCATGTATCTAGCTCAATATGTTTCCAATTACTGACGCATTCTAAGTGTTTGGAAAGCATCTGAAACCATGGAATATATTTGGAACCGATCAGGAAGTCATGCGTTCGGAGAGGTATGGGAACAATCGGTCGGCGCATTTGTTGGGCAACTTTTCACTTTTGACACGAAAGTTTCGTCAGGTCATGTAAATCAGTGTGCAGTCGGAGCGGTATTTTAAGTGAACAGGGGCGATAACCGCGATTCTCGGGACTTGAGCCTAAGTGATATTGCAATGACAGTTCAAGTGGTTCGGCCAAAGTGGGAATAGTCCGGATGCTCCATTGTGCATCATGCATTGATAGGTAGGCCCACAGTACTGACGATGAGAAGTTGTGTTGCACTTTCCAGTTCGATCCGCGCATCGACACGGATTCATCTTTCCTGACGAAGATTTTCTGTCAAAAGCGAAACATTGCCTAACAAACACGCGGACTGATTATTGCCCTACCTTTCTGGACTCGTGCTTCAAGAGCACTTGTAATGGTGCCACTGTGCGTAGTTCGGCGGCTCACGGAGACACACAAACTATTTCACCAGGCATGTCCCACCTGCTTTACAGAGTACACTGTCGTTGTCGTCAGCTCAGATACTGGAAAGATGTTACTGAGCATTTTGCGGTGCTGTCAAGCTTTGCATGTGGTGGCTGTTAGCCTTTGTCTGAAAACAATCAATATACTTGCTTACCCACCTGCTTGCATTATCCATTCTGTGTGTTATATTTCGTTATTGTTCTCTCCCCCCACTCTCTGACTCAGATGATCATCTGATCCGGTCTATCTTAATACTTCTGTATCTCCACACAGCGTCTAATCGTCTCGGTTTCCAGTTCTGAATGACAAAGAGCGATTCCAAAGATGGGTATTTAGCTGTTGCTATGTATTAGGCTGGGACCGCGACACTTTCTGTTCAATTCCCACAACTCTTCATCCAGTATTCACATTACTGCACCATGTTTTGTTGATGTTTCGAATCCACACCCTATGTTTTTCCCCTAATTTCCTTGTCCTCAAACAAGTCGTGCTTGACGACTCAGTCCGTCTTTTTTTGGCAACTTCGTCTTTGGTTTCCATGTCCATTTGTTTGACTGCTTTGAGCATTCTGCCAAGATAGCTGCCTGGACATTGATCCCGAATCGCCGCGGTAGATATACAGAAAGACGATCCGACTTAATTTCTACTCTACAGAAAATATTCGTTCGCTTCCACAACTCTTACATTCTTTCTGAAATCCTTCTATGATTTGCATATAGATCCTAAATTACGTGAAAATGCTTCGGATTCTGTGAAGAACCAGGTTGCTGCTATCAAGGAACAGGCTATGAGGGATATTGACTGCTTCTTCACTCAAGCTGGGATTCCACATGATACCGGTTTGTTGAATCATTTTTCCCGTGACATACTTCTGAAACGCTGTGGTCGAGCTATGAACTCTACGCCACCGCAATTGATGAATTTTTGTCCATCTTTTACTATTTCCCACTACCGCCGTTGTCGCTTTTAAGGCTAACCTTACTTGATACAGCAGTGGTACACGATATTGTGTAGTGCCTTCCATATTCTCTACCTGGCTCTCCAAATAAGCGGGTAAAATGGATATGTCAACATTCGGTTGACTGCGTATGTTCTTCGCTAAATATCGGCTATATCCCTAGGTCAAACATACATCCGCCTGCAGGCATCTCGCTTCCCCAACCGCTTGTGACTTGATCGCGTTCCACCTAACTGAATTACGTCATCTACCCTCGTGTCCAGCCGCAGGCCATCCCGTACTACCGATGTGCACCGGATGTGCGTCCGTTGCTCTCAAACACAATCACAAGTCACCCGCCGTGCACATCCACTCTCGCTCTGTCAAACCGTGCGTTAGCCAGTTTGGCCTCCGAATCCACGGTACATATCCATGCTACTCACGCATAGCTTTTTCTCACATGCTGAGCGGCTAACTCCGTCACACTAGCCGATTTTTGACGCCACGACTGTCACCAGTCTTTGGGCCGAGTACTGACGGTGCGTGCTCCGCGGGGTTGAACGATAATAATAATACTAATAATAACGTAGTAATAATAATAATGTATGGTGGGTGAAACTGAAGTACACATGTGAATAATTTGCCATGTGCAGTCTCAACGTTGACCGAGATTACCATTGAAGTGAAGCTTGGCCATTCGATCACTAGGACCCTAGCCGATGGAGCAGAGTGAAATTGGGTGTTGTCCCCCCCCCCCCCCGAAATACTGTATATTTCTCGTGGTACCGAGAAACCGTATCCACCAAGAGACAGATCGTACTCACATACGCAATATTCTGACGCATGCGGGGCTGTCAATGGTTTAGCTTTATGTCGGGTACAATAGAAAAGATTTTGTGAAAATCCTCATTTAGAGCTTCCATTGTCGTTTCCTACCAGTTCACGGGCATTCTCATTTGTTTGGTTCCGGTGCAGATCCATGTTGATATCGGGTTCTTGAAGGGGGATGCAACAATTGATTACTGGTTGGAAGCAGCAAGTAGAGGTTTCTCTGTGTAGCTGCATCTAGTGTCACTCGGGGACAAGGCCCGTTATCTTGTGGTGCGCTCGATGTATTTTATGTCGGTAATGTTTGTCCAGGAATTTCTTAAATTCCGACGCCGAATTTGCCTCAACTACGTGCTGCGGCAGGTCGTTCCATGCATTCACCACTCTGCGTTTGAAACAGAGTTGGTGAACAACCCGCTTCAAATCCGGTACGACAAGCTTGTACCGTTGTTCTCGTGTGCTTCTGGATGTGCGTAGATGAAGCAGCAGCCTCAACATGGGGTAATCTCCCAGATGTAATATCCGGTGCGTCATGATTAGGTCAACACTCAGTCGACGGTAAACTAAGGTGTACATCCCTAGTTTCTTACACCGGTCTTCGTATGTTACACCTCTTAAGTTGGGAATCAGCCTGGTGGCTACATTCTGCACTTGCTCACAGGAGTGCACCATGTTATAATGAAGAACTAGATTATTTCCCTGTCGGTGCAGCAGAGGTCTAATTGAAAACGGCAGCAGCGGTCTTCATCATCATCATCATACACGTTAGCTAGAGGTGGGGAACACCTCAGCTACTGTGCCGCAATACATAGAAAAAAGGAGAAAAAAATGCAACTGGTGCAAGCTGGCTGAGCTACATGTAACGGATGGGCATCGTTCCGGTAAGCTACCAACCGGCTGCTGTGCACCCAAAAAAATTATTGTGCAAAATTATATAAGGCTAAATAATGAGATCGTGGTTGAAGGGGGAGGCTAAGAGGGATCGGGTGGGACAAAGAAACTCACAGCACGAACGCCAAGCGGTCTTCATAGTTCCTTGCGATAGGTCATCCAATGAGTACTTTGCTGAATGACTCCTGGATATTTTCTAGAGCCATTCGGTCTGTCCTACGAAGCTGACTGTGGAAGATGATTGTGCATTGCTCTAGCATAGGTCTCATAATGAGTTTAAACAGTTCTAGCCGTGTTCCGGGTAGAACAAAGGATTTAGGGATGTGAGCTTTTAGTTCCATTGTCTTAGCTATCTGGTTCTAGTCACGCTCGGAAACGTTGAGGGAGGTGGAGTATATTACCCCAAGGTCATACTGAAAAGCAGCTTGCAATGTTTGTACCAGTGAGAGTGATAGATCAATCAGGTATGCAGCACATCCCTGTCCAAGCGCTTGAGATTTCTTGGTGGAAAATTGCATGGATCAAGTTTTACTTCACCAATTCAGCACGGATAAATCCTCATATATATTTCTGATGACACTTCAATACTGTATGGTGGAAGTGAAAAAACAAGTTTAGCGTCATCGCAAATGGGCATGCTCACCCGTGTATTATTGAATCATACATATAATTTATATGGGTTAAGACGAGTAGTCGCTCGAGCACACTTTCTTGGACGACTCCACATGTAAGTTCTTTTGAAGAGGAGAGGTACTGACCGATTTTAGCTCTTTGCGTCCGATCTTTCACATAGAATTTTAACCGGCTTAGCAAGTGTTTGCTGATTCCGTAAGAGTGCAGAACGCAGAGCAATGGCTTGTGTGACAGACGAGCGAAGGCCTTTCGCATGCCACTGCCAGCAACTGACGTTGCGTGTTCAAGTAATACTACGTGACATGTTACGCTGCATCGCTTCGTAAGAAATCCGTGTTGCGTGCTATTTACCGTGTATCATCTTGTAAAGAATTGAACAAGGTCATTCTTAACTATTCGCTCCAGAATCTTAGAAGCGGCCGCAGTATGAGTAATAGGGCGATACTTCGGCATTGCAGTTTGTGGGCCACCTTTGTGCTGCGGTGCTAGTAGCGAATTTTTCCAACATGGAGGAGATATTCACTACGGAGGGACAGTGCAAAGAGATATAACATCAGTAGAAGCATGTCTTTACCTCTAAGCATGAGAACAGCTGGGGAATACTACCCGACCTCGGCTGATATTATTTATGAGAATGTGGCCAGTCCATTTTCTAACCCTGCTCCTGCAGTCAGGTTCAGTGTCGCTGGTTGGGCCACGAGTGCGTCCACTTCTCCTTGATTGATTAGACATCTCATGCCAACAATGTGGTTTGTGCCGTTGGGGTGTTCACAAAAGTTAGCATTATCGTGTTGTAGGAGAGCAATGCCCTGTTAACTCTCAGATGTGACGAGATAATTTCATGCTGGGATTTGCTGAGTGCTGTCTCGTTGTTTTCTACGGCCTTCATGTAGAATTTTGCTCTGCGGCTCTGTACTAGAGAGGACACAGACACAGCGCACATAACATCTTTTATGTATGCGTTCCTTGTAGATAGGACACACGAAATTGAATCGATCTCTGTTGTTATCCCGGTATAGCTTAGGTTCTGAGGTTATCCAGTGTTGTTCGGTGATTTAGCAAGTGCACTGCTGTTTAGTGTACTGTAAGATTGTGGGATTTTATACTCCGGGAACCTTCCGGGGAGATTAACTTTGTTATTCTGTCTAGGTACACGCTTCTGTCACTTCAACGGCTTAACGAATCGGTATTTAACACAGCTAGAGGCCTTTCCTTAAGAGCAATGCGCATCACTAGTGGTGTTTGATTGTGTCCGACTATTATTGTTATTATTATTATTATCCAACACGTGACCAATGTACAATTGGTAGTGCCACAACACATAGTTAACAGCAACAAAATGGGGGAAATTGGTAGTTAGTGAAAGGATTTGAAGAGTTCAGAAGGCTGTGTTGTGTGGGCAGAGATCTTCCGGCTGCCCAGGCCGAGGAAGGGGGTTGACTTAAGGGACCCCACCCGAGCCTTTGGTCTTAAGACCTAACCCGCAAGGCAGCGGGCGATTAACGAAGACCGTTGACATCCGAGTGGCTCCTTCGTCTTCTTTGTGTTCCATAGTAGTCCACAGAGAAGCCGGTGGCCAGCAAGGTTGCTCATCCGCTCTCCATTATATACTCACCTCTGGTTACAGAAATGAGTAGTCAGTGACCTTATAGCCGGTCACATTGGCTTTGACACAGCGCCGTACGAGCTGTTGTGGTATTTGATGGAGAACCAGGTGATCAGTCCAGAACTCCTGACGCTCTGAGACGCTGCCGCTGATTGTCCGCGACTGCTTATTCATCTCGCCTGCAAAGCGAACGAGACTTATTCGCAGTTAATTCCACAAGGAACGCATTTTCCAATCCGCAATCTGGGGACGCGCCCGATAGCATACAGCTCCGCTATTCTGCTATAACGAACAGTTTCGATCGTAGGAATGTCACAGAAGCTGCTTCGCCTGTGCATTTGAGAAGACGCTGACATTAATTCATCTTCACTTTTCTCCGAAGTCTGAAAAAATGTAGATAATTCTATCCATGTTGCAGACTGTAAGAAGGATGATTTTGATTGTTTCAATGTTAATTCTATCGGGTATATTAAATATAACCATGCTCTTCAATCTACACACGCACTTGTGCGTCTAAGATGTGATAAAAGGTAAAAAAAACCTGTCGTACATAATCTATTTAATTTTAGATTTTCTGAACCCTTAATTTGCTCACAGAATGATACATTTTGATCGTAAATTGTGTTAAATTCAATAATTTTGCTTTTTAGTGAAGTGATTTCCTCCTCGAGTAATATAATGCTTTGAAGCAAATCAGGCAAGAGACTGGAAGCGTTATCACTATGTTTGGCTGCTCTTTCTCCTTTTCTCTTCTTCCTACTCGAGTAGACACTAGGTTTTGGAAAACTTGCGGACACTTACAAAGGTGCATAATTTTTAGGATTTAAACATTCGAGAACAACTACCGAGTGTCAAAACTGGTGATAAAGTGTTAAGGCAGCAATGTCTGCTGCTAAGCCACCGTAGTTGTTGCGCTTTGATTGGCTGATCCTTGTCCAGACGATAATCATATGTTCGTGTGAGGGATCTCAGGATACTTTCCTCAACCAGTTGTCGTTCCGAAATGTTCCGACACCTGGGTCAGTTGTGAGATCACTGCGGATACATCGAACGAGAAAAGCGCTTCAGAATGATCAATAGTGTCAAATTACTGAAAATTTGTTCAGCAATAATGCTGTTAAACCTAAAACAGCAAACACCACATTAACTTAGTTAACTCTAATATTTACGCTTTAAGTAACAACTTTTAGTCCCATCCATTTTTTCACTTAACGAATTTGTTACTGCATTGAGTTATCGCTTCAGTACTCTCCGTTTGTGTTTGTAGTGAATGCCAACTATTTTTCTGCACCTAAATTCACAAATATAACTCATCCGTTTGAGTTAGTAAATATTATTCATACAACTGTAGATACCGCTCATTGTGTGAGGATTGTTGGCGTTGGAGACCGATGTCTGTACCGCGGAGCACAGCAGAACTCGCCTTCCTGGAGTTACCACTTAAACGCTTTTTCTGTTTTAGAGTTTAAATGTTTTGTTGGTAACTAGCTTCCGAGGAGTCTGTTAGCCAAAATTTAATGCAAAAATGTCTATGCATATTTACAGTTGCTTATATGGTTTAGCGAGCGTACTGTGCAGTCGAAAGAGCAAAGTGGTCCCCCCCACACACACACACACTTGTCATATGTCATAAATGCGTTTCTCGAATACAAATACCGAAATCTCGTCTGACGATCGCAACGTCAGCATGTCGAACAACATGTGGGCTATTGTTTTCGCCACAATCCGTCCACATCGCATCTAATCTTTGTGTTAGGACTACTGAACGAGCTTCCACATCACTTCTGCGTTGGAGCAGAGATTCTCGCTAAATTTAAACCAACCAGCTAGTTGAACCTGATTGAGCATCCCTTCTATACCAACTAGAAACCTGCACAGATAACATCTGAGCTTTGCGTTATACTACTTTTCTTAGTTTGCATATGTAGGGTAACAGCGAGACAGCAGCATGACTGCCAATTTCTATAACAGTGTCGTTTCTATTTCCGATCCTATCTACCTTCTTTTGTTTTCGAACAGACTTGTCCAGCTTTATGCTCACTGTCAGCCAGCTTGACTACGATCAGACTCCAGATTATGAACTTTTACGCCAACATTTGCTGGCCTTCTCTAAACGCATGAAATCCTCCGTCACCAATTCCTCACCGAAGGTGGGAACCCCTGCACGCCCGATGAAGCGACTTAGTACGGAGCATCTTTCTCACGTATGTTTGTTATCTTCATCTATATGCCAAATTTAACAGCATCTCATCGTCAATGTATACATACGAACGATCTTTCTCCCAGTTGTCCTTTGTAAACTACCATAGTAAGTATACCGTAAACGATAATCTCGTCAGTTAATGCAAAGCAAGCAAGCTTCATCACACTAGATTTGTTTTAACCGGATGTTCTCACTGCCCCGGATGGTGGAGTGGATCGCCAAGAGCCCGCCCAGGCATTGAAATTAATATCCACTGTTTGGCTCCGCTAAACCTCTTTTCGGTTCCCCTGAATTGTCCTTGGAGTATCCTGTGATTTAAAAAGAAATGTCTGTTGAGGAATAGTAGGGGTCTTTATTGGGCTTTTGAGAAGTTCTGTCGCGGTTAAAATTTGTCGCCAGAGATCCGCGAACATTTTCATGCATTCCTGGATGCATGGTAGCTGTCTGGCTGGGTCTGGCCACGATAACTCTTAAAACCTGTGACATTATATGTTGTGTCGCAGCTGGAGCATTAGACCAACCTGAAACTCGGTCTCTGTACTCTTAATGGCGTAGGCCACGCTTATGAAAAGAGGTCACACAGTGCGGGAAACGCGCAGAGAATGTGTATTTTGTAAGTCGATCACTCACAGCCCGGTCTGCTTACTTTAATTCGGGATATCGCTAAATTGCCACGCGATCACGGGACACTGTGTGTCTGTGGGGGTCGTGCGCGATTGACGGAGGGGGGAGGATGGGTAGTGGTACCTAAGTGACTTACACGGCCATTGTTTTAACACTTGTCGGCCAGTTGCCGAAAGGATAATGCGTCTATTTTGTTATCTACCGGTTCGATTATGTGTAGATGCGGGTGGCCTCGTAGTATACGCAGCCCGCGCGCGACCTACGTTGGTTGCTTGGCAGTGAAGCGTCGGTACGGTTTACGGGCGCACTGTTGATGTCTTTATCCGCTATCGAGGGATCCACCATATCCGCTCATTTTGGTGTACCGAGTACCATTGTGGTGTTACTGCGACCACTATAATGAGATTCTCTCGTGTGTACGGATTTGTTCCGGAGTGATCGACTTTCTCTTTTATTTAGGTTTTTACTCAAATCGCTTGCACAGTGTGACATTGTTGAGATCTTGCTTATGTAGCACTGCTGTTAAGACACACTTAACATAGCATTACTCCTTGTTCTTCGACCATCCTTTGAGTGCTAATTATTACTAGACAATTAAAAATCACCAAGAATTGTTGGTCGATGAGACGCTTGAATCAGTTACTATTTAGTTACTTCGTCATGGAGAATTTGTAATCGTGCGCGTTGGATCTTCGAATAAACAACCAGTATCCGCACTTAGCTGCCGCTGCGGGAAGTCGTAAATTCATGGCACCAACCACTCTCCTCTACAACCCTCCAGCCTGCATGATGACGGAGGTTGCATTTTGTGACACTTTGTTTGCGTATTATGATGATCTGCCACCGCGTCTAGGTGGCATTAGCTGATGGAGAGAGACGCGGGACGCTAGTGGTCATGGATTCGGTTCCTGATGGAGCCGTAGGGAGAAAACGGTCGTGTTTTGCCTTTCCAGGTTGGTGGTTTATTAGCTACTCCGGTGTGCTCAGTTACACCTACAAAATTATTGTGTTCTGAGTAAACAGGTGTACGAGAATGACAGAACGAACAGCCAAGTCTGGCGCTTCCTGTCATTGTTTACTCGAAGGTAGATAGACAACCGATTTGTGGTGATACGAACCAAGATGTGTTGTGATTCCAGGGTGTCTTCTTTTGCATCACTGCTTGAGCATGCTTCTTCTCACATATTGCAGTCTTCACTGTCGTTTCTTTGCTTGTCGAGTAGGGTTGGCATTTATAGCCATTCTGGTCACCTAGTTTGTATCCGAAGCAAGCCACTTGTTGTGCTGAACTCACACTACTACCCGTAAACATTTCACATGTTCCCGGCAATCAGGAAGCTGAGATTCCAGGGTAAAAATAGCTTTCTCTTTCACCTCGTTTTGAAATCCATGACGCCACGGTTTAGCGCATTCACCTGAGTCCAAAGCGGCGTCCAAGTCAATCCAAACAACTATAACAGGTCAATTATGTGTAATGCTCTGCTGTAGAAATGCATGCAGTGTATTTATATGTTTAGCGATTTCTTTTCCTGCGTGAAACTGGTTTAGTTTTCACCAACTCTACTTTTCTGGCACCACCGAGTTGCTTGAGTATACCGTCATGGAAAGTTTGACGACAGCATCTCTATTTCTAGCACGACATTATTTGCTTTCTAAAACACTGAGGACACATTGCTTGACAAACACCATCCTTAGGGTAGTTTTGAAGCAACCTGCTAGCTCCACAGCCAGCGTGTCACCACAATATATCAGAACCGGTGGAAGAATGTTATCGATCTGGTCAATTTTTCCTACTGTATCAGATCCCTTTTGCGCCAGATTTCTTCAACAGTAGTGCAAACTGGGGGTTAGGATTATGGGTAAGTTCAGATGCGTCTGGAGACAATGTAACAATATACAGCTCTACAAACAGTTCTTTTCCAGAATACATCACCTGTCCGTCTTCCTCAACATTTGTCTCTCACGTTGACTCCTCTTGAGCCCGTTTCGAAGGAATCTTTCGGAGCTTTTACATACGCGACGGCACCCGTTAGCCCTGCTTATACTTGAACCTTGGGCAAATGTTCGACAATCGCGCCTTACTGCTTTTTAAATGTGAATGTCTACCATCGGTTCGAAAGCTCCTACGTTGAAAGCAATCACTCCGTAAATAATGTATAACCGTCAAAAACAATAATGTTTGCCGAATCCAGAGGCGAAGTAGGCCACCACATGTCTCGATTGCCGCGGTCCTATGCTTCGCTCCCAGTCAGTGATGTGCGTTGTCATAATCATCATACAACATTCAAACTGCTTGGGGTGTTACCTTCTACCAATTTGGTGCTGTCTCACGTCTGCCGCTGGTTAATGATAGCGTCCCCATTTTCATACTCTTCGGTACACCTATTTTTCTGCATCGTTTAACAGCCAGCCAATTGTTGCAAGCAGTTTTAAATGTTCTGTAGCCCAAGATTCTGTGTAACAACCTACACTTGAAACTCTCCCAATTACCATCGAGAATAGCATACTTAGTTGATCTAATTTAGGGTCAAGCTGAGAGTGATTTCCCTACGTTTTAACTACGTTATTTACTATCAAGTAATAGGTTGAATTCGCGCTGCTCATCAAGCTTGTCTGTTACTGTGTCTTATGTTACATGACTAATTCAGTCTACGAAATAACAGATTACAGATTAACGAACCCATTATTGTCTGGTTCCTCAGGTGCATTATATTTCTGTCTTATTCCTAAACGGGTACTGCTTTCCTACTGTCCTGTGTATAGTCGCGGCAACCTGCTCAGCAGCCTAAAACCGCACGTCCCATTAGCAACGCCATTGGCACAAAGGAAACCTCAAAACATCATCGTAGATGCCCACCCGCAACTTCGCATGTACGCAGGAGGGAAGAAGCTATAATCTCACGTGCTGCTCCGGCAGTGCCGTCCCCTTCAACTCGACCGATCGAGAAGAACGCTTCTCAAGGGTAAATGGATTTAGCACGTTCTCCTTTCAGTTATGTAGGACTAGAAGTGTTAGAAATTTGCCCTATATGGCCACAATCCAACACCAGCCCACATCCGTGTTGTTTGATTTCTTGCTTATTTGTTGTCTTCTATTTTAGCGCCGCTGGTGATTCCGGAGGTGTGGAACCAAACTTGTCATCACCCAGTGTCTTGTTATCTGATCCTGTCTCAACTGCTAGAACCCCAGGGAGACTGCCTCCCGGTGCAATAGGTCCTGGGGTCACGGAGCTACCCACATGTTCCAGTCCCAGAATTCGCGCTATGAAGCAACCCGCATCTAACAAACCCATTATGACCAAATCTCTCCGATATATATTCTCTAACGGTGAAGAAGAATTCGCCCAGCTGGTGTCACCGAAAGAGGCTGAACTTTGAAGACTGGAGAAGCCCAGATATGTGACTCATGTCGAAGGTAATGTGCTCAGCCCGTACAACCCGCCTTCCGAATGTCACTCCCCCTCATCCACCAAAAAAGCTGAGGCAGCTGCTGCCAAACAACGTCAGTCAGGGTTTTGTCAGACATCACCGGAATTGTTAATGCTTGCTAAAGCAGAAGCCCTCGGTCGAAGGGCCGCTGAATTGGCAAATTATCATGTATATTCCAAATACTCATAGCGATCGATTTCGCACTCAGATTCATTGTGTGTGTATTGTTTTCTCATTTCTAATGTCGCGTATTCCTTAGTATTCGCGGACGATATTACTCACCCACATTTTAGCGGTCGGTGGAACGTGTGCATTTATCCTGAAGTTTCTGACGATTATACTGCTTCTTTGTGCCATTGTTCTACTTCGTTGTGTCTGAGGCTTAACTGTTCGGTTACTGCCAAACTCGATGTTGTGTGTCCGAAGGCGGCTTTTGCTGCGTTCTGGAGTCCTACTCTTTGAAGCCAAGGTTGCTAACAATTGCGGCGGTACGAGACAGCTGCCTCAAGCACTCTTTCAACAATGTTACTTTGGGGTCGATGGCGACTCACTGGTGATCGCCCTAACCACTCTGGTGCAAGTAGGAATACGTTATGATTAATGTTATTTCGTTACAACCACAGCTTTAGAGAGGCTAAGTTATTTTCCATGGAATATGTCTTGGGATCAGTCTTATCTCGTCTTACACGTGCGCGTATACGTACTCACAATGTTCACTGGACTTTCGGATCCTGATCTACTTTGGCTATGGGTGCCGTTACCCCTTGTGTACTGTCTCGCTGCCAACGGACGCCATCCGTTTGCAGTCTGTGCACATGAGAATATTTCTTTGCTAATTTGGAACGCTGTGTCAACGAGATTGCTACAGACAATCACTTATATGTTTGTGCATAATGAAACCATTCAACCGTGAATCGCGCTTTTTGTCCTAAACGAGAACAGCATTTATTTTGCTATATATGCTACCACAATTCCACCAGAGGTCGCACGGGATCATGATAGCATAGTATCTTGTTTCCGAGTTTCCAAGTTAGCTGATAATGACAAATTCAACTTTTATCTTATTTCACCAACTCCGCGTTATCCAAAGCTAATGCCTGTCACCAGTGACGTGATACAGGGTAGCGTTCCGGGACGCTTTTGATTCCTACTGTATGTAAGCGATATTTTTAACATCTTTTCCTCCGGCAAACCTTTCCTATTTGCCGATGGCATAAACATGGTTTACATTTCTAATCCAACTGAAGTCAGTGTAATGCTAGGCGGAATCCAGCGTGTTTTAAGAGTGATCGATTCATGGGACTCCAAACTGTTGATGACATTCTCTGCTGACAAATGCCACGTACTATCCTACAAATGTGATATCATATCGGGTTCGCTTAACATGGATGATAAACC